TCTCTCTCTCTCTCTCTCTCTCTCTCTCTCTCTCTCTCTCTCTCTCTCTCCTGTCTTATTTAATGAGATGCATCAAAAAGTAAAAAATATGATTCATGATAGTTGTGGCAAAACAGGCTATGGCACAATATTGGAAAAATCCAGAGGCTCCATTATAAGATCTCTGATATGGCAAATGGTTGTAATAGAAAATGTATCTTTAATTCAATTTGGGAAAAAGTAATTATTTTTAAAATGCATAATAGGTCAACAGTCTCTTTTTGTTTAGCACAATACATACGAAAGTCACTGTTGCAATTTTGCCCTTTTTTTTAGATCTTTTAATATGCATGCTTGTTCTTTAATTAATAAAATATATTAAAACATTTTATAAAATAAAAATGAACTGTTCACTAGGAGCAATTACAATGAAGTAAAGGTAGATGTTTTGGACAAGCAGTGCAGAGGCAGCGGTTATTGGAGAGGACTATGGTTTTTGGAAAAAGTTTGGAAGTCAAGTGGAAAAGAGTCTAACAGGAAAAAAAAGTCTGGTAAAAGATAAAGTAGTCAGATACAATCATTGATGACCTAAGCATTGACTTACAAGAACTCAAAGAAACAGTTACTAAAAGATAATTGCAGCAAATTTATGTTCTTTGAGTCACAAAAAGTTCGAAGTGACTAAGTGACTGAAAAACAGTAATTCTCAAAGTAAGTAGCATATAGCAATAATGAGAATGAAAGGCAACAGTGGAGGAGGAATGGGCAAAATCAAGAAAAACAGAACCACAGAGATTTGAATAACTTATCTTTAATGTTAGATGAGGATAAACCTTGGAAATTGTAATTGGAAGAGAAAATATCTTCTTTAACTTCAAAGTAGCAGCAGACCACAGCAATTTCCTCACAACAGGAACCAGTCACCATAACAGTATCAGACATGCAATAGTGGATCAAGAACATGAAGAGCTGGACAGCAGCTGGCCTCAACATGATCCATGCATGCTGGCTAAAGAAACTGACATTAGCAGAACAGGCAAACCAGCAGCAGGCTTTCAGTCAAACTGGCCAACACAAGGAAAGATAGTGCTCATTATGAAAGACCCCCACAAGGGAAGAGCACCATCCAACCTGACAAAAACCTGCTTTTGCACAACATGGAAAATTCTATCAGACATCATAACTATCCAGTTTATGCTGTAATTATTAAGCAAATCGCAGCAATATTTAAGGCAAACCATGTGGTCATTTGGTGAACCTGATTTCAAAAGCTTTTGACTTGGCCAAAAGCCCCCTGGGGAAGTTACAAATGGTGATCACATGATTCTGGGGTACTGCAACTATTGTAAATACATGGTGGTTGCCAAGGACCTGGATTTTGATCATATAACCTTGGGGATGCTGTAGGAGTCTTAATCTGAGGACTGATTGCAACTCACTTTTTTCATATCGTCATAACTTCAGTCATTAAATGAATAGTCATAAGTTGAGAACTATCTTTGAGGGAGTATTCTTGTGATGTCCAGCAGAGATAGTACATGCAGCTGGTCAAATTTAAGACCTAGCAAAATTTCAAAATTGTGATGGTGGAGCGATAGAAAACTGCAGTACACATTTGAAAAGACCTCACATGCTGTGTACTGGGAACCAATCTTGCTTGATTTGAAGGCTGATTATCTCAGATACACTGGTTAAAAATACTTCTGGTGTTTTTGAAATTGAATGGAGCTCCAGCAAGAGCCCTATAGGAAGCAAAGCTTGATAGGGTCCTATCTCTAAGAAACGTCCTGCCTCTTTACCAAATTAGTCTGCCTTGATTGTGGAGCATACAGAAGGCTCTTTGTGGGCAGTATGTCAGGTATTCCTGCTTCCAATCTACTTGAGACTTTATAAATAGGATCTGAACATCTTGAAATGTGTCACAAAAATAATTAGCAGTTAGAGCAGTTCATGAAAAGCTGGTGTATATCAATAGAGCGGGTACTAGAAAGCAATCTGGCTGCTCTACTTCCCACTTAATTGCAATTCTCAACATGGAGTCCTCATTATATCCTGTTTCTAAAATACCAGAAACAAAAGTTGGAGTTATTTCCTGAACGTGAATTCTGTATGAGGGCCATAGTGTAGGTTTCATTCTTTTAGTTTTTTAAGCCAAATTATGAGTTTGCTCCTTTATCTCATATTAACTCATGGAAATTTCTAATAATGAAATGGGGTATAATTTAAATATGATGTTTTGCTAGCAAGGCAGGTCAGTTTATTGAAATTAGAGAAAGTTTCAGGAAAAAAGACTAAAATGTTCTGTCCTTTCTCTTTCCCATATCTGACATTCTCTCTGCCAAACAACCATCATTTCATGATAACAGCACAGAGTGATTACTCAGTGGCAAAAATATTTCCTTTGCTCATCTAATTGATAGCCAGATTATTTTAAAAAATCATTGTTTTTAGTTAGTCTTTTAGTGTTCCCTAGACTGAGACATAGAAGAAAAATACAGCTGCATGGCCAAAATTTAAAAAAATTGTCAGATCAAAAAAGCCAAATTCAATTCTGTAAAATAAAATGAATAAATTTTAAGAAAGATTTGTCAGATTTCCTTTGTAGCAACCTGAACTTCAAACAGCTTATCCCCCCAAAAAAGTTCTCAGAACTCTAATGCATGTTGTTGATGTTGAAATATTAAAATTTCAACGTCAACAATTCCAGTGAGCAATCTTTTTTTCAAATGAGATCTATATAATGCAGACCAAGATTCTGGTTTATACAATAATAATTCTTTCAGTTTGTGTATAATATATTGTTTTTAAGACAATAATTGTAATGCTAGTATGAATTTTGATTATTTTCAGGTGAACCGCTTCAATAAGGTAGAAGATCGAGCAATTTTTATAACTGACAGACACCTTTATAAGATGGACCCTATAAAGCAATACAAAGTGATGAAAACTATCCCACTGTATAATGTAAGTGTTATTCTGTTAGCTTCCGGGATATTTTTATGCATTGTAACTTGCTAAAAAAATGTGGTTATACAACAAGGAAGTTTCCATTTGTTGTACTATTTTCTTGTTATATATAATTTCCAGTGGTTTAAGATTTCAGTATGGTTTAACAGAATGTGGTCATCTTAAAATAACGTTGACAATCCCAACCAGAGAAGTAGATTTTGAAACCCTTATCCAAATTTTGCTTTTAGCTATTGTACCTATTCATGCATTATGATCTCCATACTTTTCAGTGTAATCATACACGTACCTACTGACCTTCCTTGCATTTCCTATTGTCATAGCAATCATTTAGTCTGTATTGCTATATTGCTCAGTTTTCCTGCTGTATATTCACACAGTTGCTTAGTGCAGGATGGCTTATTCCAAGTTAAAAGGTCAGAATTTATTTTAAAGCAAAAACAGTGATATCATCTGCAAACTCTGTTCCTTTATCTCACAAATAATTCTTTCAGGAATTGAGTGGGTGCCCTAGGGTGGGAAATACATTTCTCCAATTATAATTTATTGTTGAAGTTTTACCTGTTTTGGGAATGACTTGTCTTGAATAGCAATTAAAATATGCCATAATCATATTAAAATAGCTTGGTTTTTTGACACTGTTAAGAGTGAAAACGCTAAGTAGCCGTAAGATAGAGGAAGGGAAGAGAGAGAGAATAAAAATATTTATTTTTAAGATAAGTAGGATGGTCCATTTTCAATTCTTAAAATGTATACCTCATGATAGGGCCAAAATCTCAGTGTTTATAAGATTTCTCTTGAAAATACAGATAAACAAATTACTTTAGTTGCTGTGAGAAACTTCCTAAAGTTTTTCTCTTTCCTAGCAGTTAATTTTGGCTTAGAGAGGACCAAGAGAGAAACAGCTTTCTGTATGCTACATTAACATTCTTACAATGAAAAGTTTAATGAAATCATCTTACATATTGGCTTTTTAAAATTAGTCAGACTTTTTTTTCTTTTAGCATATGTTCATTCCTTTAAGGCAGATGTGTGGAGTTGATGCTCCATCAAACTTATTTCTAACTAATTTATAATTAGTTTAGTTTATGTACTGGTCCTTCTTATCTAACAATAAGCTTGATTTCCCCCAAGAAAATTTGGAATTTAAATTTAATGAGAACAAGAATTCTTATGGAAGAAATGAAGGCATTTAAAATATTTAGCTTCATTTAAAGCTTAAAATCTCCAGTAAACACATAATTTAGCGATTGCTGGGATCCATTTTGCTAATTATAAGAATGCATATAATAACAGGTACAACTTGAATAAAAAGCAACTGAGAGGAACAAATGAAATGTTCAGCATATTCAAATAAAATCCCTCTTCTTCCTCCTCAGTTGGTTATGGGAATGTTTTCAATAATGGTTGCTATGTACTCTGTGGTATAGCTAGTCTAGTTCCTTAGCATCAACGGGGCACAATTAGCAACATTTACTCTCAACATGCAGGCTCTATGTGGGTGATTTTTCCCAATACAATGGTTTTTTTCTTATTATTATATTGAAATACTTAAAAAAGATAAACCACCAACTTCAAGGTTTTAAATTGCTATTTAGTTGAAAAACATCAAGGCAGTTACATTTATTTTTATCCACCCTATTTCATAGTATAAATGGTTAATATATTGTTTGTAGCTTTTATTTTTCCAGAGAAGCCTGGGAATTAGTTTCCTTGGAAATTTTGTGAAGAGGTTAATATTTAATTATTGATGTTTATTTATTTCTCGTATACATCTCATTTTTAATTTTAAATAATATACAGTGCCTGTACTGAAACCAGCCTTGTTGAGCTTCACTTGTCTATCAATCCATGTTCACTATCATGGCTTTTAAAGCTTTCTTGTCAACATTGAAATATCCCCATGGAACCTGTTGCCATAGCAGGCATCAGCTGATGTCTGATTTTCCTGCAGCTTGTTTTCTAGCTTAGGAAGCTATACCTGTCAGTTCTAACCTTATAAAAAAGGAATATCACCAAGTAGAAATATTTATTGGGATGTCTTTGACTTCTAGAAGTAGAAACAGTTATTTTTGAATGAGAACAATGATTATATGCTTGTTGTAAGATAAACATTCCAAGATGGAGGAAACTTTGAAATATGGAAAAAATATGTTCGCTTTACAATTAGTAAGGGTGTGCTGTATTTAAAAATTTTCGTTTGTTAATGTATAATATACTGTTTTTACTAAAAGGATAAGTTCTACTTAGTATTACTGTTGCTACACACATTTTTTATTAAAATGAGCCAGGATTAATTGCTGCAGTCAACTTGATATATTTAGAATGTGGATTAATGCATTTTAAAGTATATTACAAAGCAATTGTCCAGTTGCTTCAGTGTGTCCTGTTAGAGCAAATCACCATTATTCAGCCAACTCCCAACTATTAGAATAAATTTAAATCGATAGCATTCCTAGGCTTAGGTTACATTAATTACTTTTCTGTTTCAAAAATTACCAAACCAATTACAGACCGAGACTGCATTTACATGTAATGTTAAGCCAGAATTCTCCAACAGCACTTTCATTTTCCTCCTCAATTTCATCTCATTGTGAGACGATGCAGTAAAAATTGAGGATCCCTTTAACTGAATATGAAATATTAGTGAACCTTATAAGTGAGATGCTAATAATGTAGTGTACTTGCTTGAATAAATAGGCTTTAAACTGGATTTACATAGTTGTCATTTCTACCTATAAGTATTGCTATTTTTGGTTCTCTTTTAACACCTGCTTTCGGTTCCACAGAACATGACTAAACTGGCATTTTCTTTTTATGCTTCAATAGAATCTAATCATGAAATCTGAGATCTCTTTAGATTCCTTAAGAAATTAATGGTCGGAATAATCTAAATATAGTGGAACATTCTTGTATATGTATACTTTTGTTATTTTTTAACATTGAGGCTTTTGGAGAATGTTGAATAGCAATTGAGCAGGGGTATCATACTGGCAGCCCACGGGTCGGATACATCATATGCAGTCCACACCCACTCCAGCTCCGTGAAGGGGGGAAAAAAATCACGAAATGCCACGTGACGGCAACTTGACATGGCAAGTTTGACACCCAGGAAATAGAGCTAATTATCACTCAATATCTTCTTATTTATGGACTGGGGACAAGATGGTAAGGGCAATGACAAAGTGACATGGGAAAATTGATATTGTTGAGAAACAATTTTTCCATGGTTAATTACATGTGGGAATCTGGCCTAAGAGAACCTTTGTATAATAGATTACCTTGAGAGGCAACAAATACTCTAAAAACCTTTGCCTTTAATCTATAAAGCATGTACTACAGCATAAAATGTTGCTAGCTTTAACGTTTTTGTTTCCTGCAGCTAACAGGACTGAGTATCTCTAATGGAAAGGATCAGCTCGTGGTTTTCCATACAAAAGACAACAAAGATCTAATTGTCTGCCTTGTCAGTATGCATTCACTTAATGAGAACAGAATTGGGGAGCTGGTTGGAGTCGTGGCAAATCACTTCAAAAGGTAAATATGAATGCATACCTCTGAATCTGAAACGAATATGAAAGTAGCAAGCCAATTGATGGTATAGATCAGTGTTTCTCAACCTTGGCAACTTGAAGATGTCCGGACTTCAACTCCCAGAATTCCCCAGCCAGCAAATGCTGGCTGGGGAATTCTGGGAGTTGAAGTCCGGACATCTTCAAGTTGCCAAGGTTGAGAAACACTGGTATAGATAGTCCTAGATTGATAGCCATTCATTTAGCAACTGTTATGATGGTGCCGAAATAAATCCATTCCTTGCACTTATGATTCTTTCATCATCCTCATGATCATATTATTGCAATTCGGGCACTTTGAAATCAGCTTTCATTTATGACCAGTTGTGGTGTTCTACAGTCATGTGATGAGGATTTGCTGTCTTTTTTGTCAGTTTATGGCCAAAAAAGAATGCCATTTGGAAGAATGGTTTGCACTTACAACTTCAGTGTTCACTTAATGATCATTGTAGAAATGGTTGTAAAATTGGTCTGACTTAACTTATGACCACAACAACTTACAATGAAAATTCTAGCCTTAATTCTTGTCATAAATTGAGGAGTTCCTGTAGGTTTTTTTTTCTGTCCTCTAGCTACAATTTGATTCTTGGAATTTCCTGTCTTCTTTCTTTTTCTAATTTGAAAAAATTATGACTGATTCTGCTGTAGTTTGGTTTGGTTTGGTTTGGTTTGGCAATGTTTGATACCTTCTTATTTATTTCATTTTGACCCCATTGACAAAAATTGGATTTAGGTGGCATGCATTTTTGTAAAACAATGCAAAAGTAACCTGTGCTAATAACTATCCTGCATCAATACAATTTCTTTTATGAGAAGCAATGTGTTCTGCTGTGCTGTACTGTGTTCTCGATAGATTTTTTTAGTTAGAACTTACATTTCCTGCTCACACCCACCAGGTATGTATATTTGGAAATTTTTCAGCTTCTGCTTCACAGTTCCTTTCTCTCTTCATCTTAACAAAAGCCGATACTGCAGCAGGGACCTATTTTTTTTACACTTTAGTTTTTTTCTTAAGTCTGTTGGAAGTACAGATTTAAATTATGACACCATAGATTACTGATATCTACCATCTTCATACCTTTAAAAAAGCATGTTTTGGCATTCTGATTGTAAATCTTATAGTTTTGGTATAGTGGTAAAGGTCATGTGGTAAAAAATGGTAAAGAATAGGATTGACTGTTAATAGGGCAATAAGATGGAATCGAGCACTAGATTTTTTTTCTTGTCTGACTTATGCATTGTTAAGTTCAATAAAATTAATAATTGAAAATAAATTTTATTTCTAGAGACAATGCATTCACTTTTTCCTGTGATAGTTATTTAGAAATTAGGAAAGAAAAGTAAAAGTAGGGTGAATAGACAGGAATTAATTACTAAAAGACAGATTATAAATGGGAAAATTAAGGTAAGTTTCTGAATCTTGTACTCCAATTCCTTTCTTAACCCTAACCTCCACCATTCATTTTCATATACACACATGCAGACATACATGTAGTCCTTGACTTATTGCCTAGTGGCCATTCCAAATTACCTCTGAAAAGCTACTTATGACTCAGTTTCAAAGTTACAGCAGTTGCACCACTCCTGTGGTCACATAAAAACAAAATCCAGACAGATTTGCTTCTTACAATCTATCAAAGGGATGCTGCAGCAGCCCCCCCCCCCCAGCCTAACACCACCACCCCATCCTACCCCATCAGATCCCACACTCCTCCAGACCCCCAGAACCAATCACTCACTTTCTGTAGATGTCCAGAATTCGCATTGTGGAAGAATAGGGTGCTCTATATCCTTCTATATCCCTCAATATCCTTAGACTCTGTGGCTCTGTCTTGAAAATGAGTGCCATTTTAGGAGCAGCTGCAATGAATTAACACTTAACATCCACTTTTGGGGTAGCAGAGATGACCGTTGTTGTAAGGTGGTCAGTTGGATGCCTTACTTAAACACCATCATGACTTGCAACCATAATAAGCAGGTTCCATTAAAATTGCCTGATTGTAAAATTGTACCCTTAAAAAGGAGGCCTGCTTGTATTCACTTTTGTTATATTGTTTCACTCTTAAACATTCCCAACATTTCCTGAAGATTTATGTATAGAGAGAAGATGAATAAAATACAGGTAGTCCTCTACTTGCAACAGTTCTTTTAGTGATTGTTCAAAGTTACCTTAATAGAGAAAAGTGACTTATGACCATTTTTCACACTTACGACCGTCGCAGCATCCCTATGCTGCAACAGTAATAAGTGTGAAAAATTGGATCAAATTTTAATCAAAATTTGCTGGCTTGGCAACTGATTCATATTTATGACAGTTGCAATGTCTTGCAGTCATGCGATATGTTTTTGTGACCTTCTGTCAAGCAAAGTCAATGGGGGAAGCCAGATTCACTTAACAACCGTGTTACTAGTTTAACTGCAGTGATTCACTTAACAACTGTGGCAAGAAAGTTCATAAAATGGGGGAAAACTTATTTAACAAATGTTTCACTTAACAACATATATTTTGGGTTCAATTGTGGTTGTAACTGAAGAATTACCTGTAGTACTATAGTATGCTTTCCTGCTTTCTCCCCACTTCATCTCAATATAAGATATTGAATTATTTGTAAAAAAAATAATAAAGATGGTATACACATAAATAAAACAAAACAAATTCCAATCTGAGATGGTTCCTCCTAGCCCTATTGCCTAGTTGATTGCTAATAGGAATTATTGATTACATGCTGATTACTGAATTTGTAAGTTTTTCTCTGTGTGCCAGAAGGTACAGTACTGCATGATTTTTTTTAAGTATTCATGCGTACAGACACACATACCACTAGTCTCAGGATAAGCATATATAAAGTACAGAAAATGAGTAAAAATAGTAAACCAAAGAAATCAAACTCAAGAAAAAATAAAAGAAGAAGACAACCTAACCAATTTATATCCATCCAGTTCTCAGTACTTCTTCATAACCTCTGTCTTTGCATGTGAATAATACAGTATAACACTTCAGTACAACTCCATATGGTAGTACTCTTTGTAATATAACTCTTTTCAATCAGTTACAAAAAGTTTCAGCATAATTTTCTTGAAGTCTGCTTTCCATTCACTCACTTGGGAGATTAATTAATAGACTAATGTTTCTTTTTCATACAGAACTTGCAGGTGTTCTTTTCTGCAGTTTTCTTCCATGTCCATTTTTCTGCTTTCAACACTAACAATAACTATTCTGTCTTGCATTCAAAACCTTTCATCGTTCACAGATCCTTCATTAATTCTCTCAATCTTTCGTCACAGTCAAGTACTGCTTTTAGATTCATCTTTGGCCATATTGAAACTACCTTTTTCTAACCAGATGCCAAGCAATAATCATTCTCATTCTTCCTTGGTTGAATCACTTTTTTTGTATGTTGTCATCTCATTTCCACCTGTCCATTTTACTTAACTAACAAGATGACTTGCATTCATTCAAAATACAACGATCACAGTCCTAAGTGGTTAGCACATTTGGACCAGTATGCCTCAACTAAAACCTGAATTTTACCGCAGATGCACTTAGGTTATTCTATTCAAGGAAGGAACACTCATCTAAAATAACCTGAAAGCTAACTTACATTAAGCAATATCCCACATGAAGTACATGAAGTGAACTGACACATTTAGGATGAAGAAAAGAAGAAAGACACCGTGATCTAAGTACCCAGATGCCCTATTTAACCAATGATCAAGCTTGATGTTGAGATGAGTTTGAATGTGTTATGATGGAGGGGGGGCAGAGGGAGGAAAACTGTCATCACTACAAACAATGTCCTTCCCATTTTAAATGTGCACAGACAAGCTGTTTGACTGACTGGAAAAATGTATTTGCAGTGTAAAGAATTCTGTGCAATGAAGATGCCCTTTAAAGAAGATGAAAATTTTGCTCCCATATTATCCAAAATGAGAGTGGGAAGCTTTCAATACAATAAAACCATAAATATAAAAACATCAAAATTAATAAGAGAATTAGATAAAACTAAGAACCAAAGCATAAGCAGTACAGAGATAGGATTATCTCCATCAGTCACTTCCAGGGTAAAGTGCTCCTATTGGAGCTTCAGGCAACTGGCAGAGCTCCAGGCAATTGGCAGAGCCAAGTTTTAATTCCTTTCTGAAAGATCAAAAGGGTGGGATTGGATCTCATCTCTGATGGCAAGACGTTCCAAGGAGCAGGGCCATGGCAGATAAGGCTCCTCCTAGGCTTTGCCAGCTGAATTTCATTGACCAACATGATCCCAGCATGCCAAAGCAAGTGGGGCAGGCCAATCCCATTGAAACAAGACTGTTCCTCAAATAGAATTTAGTTATATATTTATTCATTAGCTGTCCTTTCCCATATATCATACAGCCAAACTATCTGCAAAGGGATCTCTCCTACTGATCTTAATAATTGAGTACATTCATATTGGGAGAAGCACTCCTCCAGAAAGAGGCACTCCTCCTCAAGAATTATAGCTTTAAAAGAAAAATCGCAAATGAATGATTGCATTCTCATGATCATCTCTTAGAAATGGGATATGTAATAGGCTATCTGAAATTGCTGAGAGGAGGCAGTATTTTGTGGAACGTGAAACAGAAGATGGTATATAGGGACAACTGTGACAAATTGTCCTCAAATGTTTTGTTCGAGAAGAGCAGGCAGAACTGGGGGGACAGAGTTAAGCACATCATCAGCATAGAGTCATTACTTTCCCACAAATGGTCCAAGCTCAACCTTGAATTCCATTGACCCTTATCTACTGCTAATTTAGTATTGAATTTTAGTTGACTAGATTTTTATGTGTAAAATTAAGCAATAAACCTTCTGAACAGCAGTTTAATGTATGGTTTTGATTATTTTCACCTGACATATTCAAAATTGTGTCCATGGCTAGTAGGAGAATAGAATAGAATAGAATAGAATAGAATAGAATAGAATAGAATAGAATAGAATAGAAT